CCCTCTGCCTCCAGGGTGGGGGGGGAGGGGAAGGGCCAGGCCAGCTCCCCTGGCCTGCCTCCAGCCCCTCAGTCCCCACTGTCATGGCAGCGCTCTGCCATCTGTCCTGTCCATCTATAGTACCAAGACAGCCAATCAGAGCGTGAATAAAACATAATGGACAGACAGACAAAGGCTTTGATAATATTAGAATAAGCAGCCATCAAGTCCCCCCAAGCCTTCTCTTTGCCCAGCTGAAGAGTCCCATGTCCCTCAGCCTCTCCTCATCTTGCTCTCTTGGCCTTTGATCGTACGGGTGGCTCTCCTCTGGACTCTCTCGAGCATATTTACATCCCTCCTAAAGTGGGGGGCCCAAAACTGGATGCAGTACTCCAGGTGTGGCCTCACTAAAGCCAAGTGAAGCGGAAGGATGACATCCCTGGTTTTGCCCGAGAAGCATCATGCCAGAATTTGGTTTGCTTTGCCGGCCACGACATCGCATTGGTGGCTCATGTTCATCCTGTGGTCAATCAAGACCCCCAAGTCTCTTTTGAATCAGGGCAACCATCCCGTGCCCCACACTTTTGGGGGGGGGGGGGGGGGCTCACAGACAGTGCTATGCAGGCCCTGCCACAGCCGCTGCACTCCACTAGCTCCACGCTCTGACCACTCACCACCCCTCAGCGCTGCGTGGGCTGACATGCCCCAGGCCCCACACACCCCTAGGGACAGCTCTGCTCTCAGAGACCCATCTTAGAATCACAGAAAAATATAGCTAGAAGGAATCTTCACAGCTCGTCTTGTCCAATCTCTTGCTCAAGGCAGGATCAGCTCTGCCTAAACTATTCTAGACAAGTGTTTATCTAGTTTTTAAAAACCTGCTTTTAAAACCTACAAAAGGCAGAAATTTGCACAACTTCCCTAGATAGTTTGTTCCAATGCTTAATCACCTGATTTCGAAAGTTGTTCCTTAATAAGCAACCTAAATTTCCCTTACTACTATTTAAAACTGTTATTCCTTGTCCTGTCCCTTGAAGTCCAAGAGGATAATTTATCACCATCCTCTTAATAATCATCCTTCAGGTATTTGAAGACTGTTATCAAATCCCTCCAGACCTCTCTTCTCCAGACTAAATAATCCCAGTTGATTCAGCCTTTTCTCATAAATTGTACTCCCCAGACCTTGCTGCTCCCCATCAGACTCTTTCCTATTTTTCCATATCTTTAAAAGCAATGCCCCAAATTGGACATCGTACTCCACGTGAAGCCTTACCAGTGATGTGCAGAATGGAAGAATCACTTCCCTTGACTTGCAAGTGATTCTCCTGTTAATACAACCCAGGATGTCAAAGGTCAGCAACCTTTTACTACGGACAAGCTGCTCTTTGTAACCCAGGTGGCACTGCAGGCAGCAGCTAAAGGATGCACTCCACACCTCCCTCCAGCCTCTGCTCACCATCACCTCTGTCAAGTGTTACAAGCAACGATTCGGAGTAGCTAATCCACCAACAACGGCAGGCAGAGTGGGCAGGGGAGCACAAACAGCTGGAGTTGGAACATGCATTTTGCTAACTGCTGAGGATCAGCTAGCTGTTGGCAAAATGCAGGCTGGACTGGGTGGAAGCACAGCATCAGTCAGTTGTTCTTAACACACAGACTGGGCTTGACCTCTGCAGATCAGATCTATCCCAGTTGCCAATCCCTGAAGTATGCTATTGGCAATAAGAATACAGCTTGCATTCTGCTATGACCCCCAGGGCCTTTTTTGGAGCACTCCAACCTAGCCAAATGTTCCCCAAGTCATATCTGTTCCTCGCCTTCCTGGCTTGTGAAACTTATTGCTAGATACTGCATGAGGGGAAGAACCTGCTTAACTACACCCTGGCTCAGCTGGAGAACAAGTGGATCATGTATTCGTAAATCATCCTCTTTTCAGTTGTTTTATTATTACAAGTTTTAAAAAATCATTAACGTAAATTTTTAGCGAGGCTATTTGACTAGGTTTATGGGATGTGTGATTTTATAAAATTATTCAGCTACCATCAAAAAAGATATCTTTATTAGACAAAGTATGTCATACATTTAACTGAAAAGAACTGAATGAGTTGTCACAAGCAGTTACAAAATGCAATACAGAACATCGCAAACTTCAGAGCAGCATCTTGAACACATATCTAGAAGGGCTGGGTTCACAAAAGTTTGCACTGCACAGACTGCAAACATGAGAAGGTGTAGGCTTTCTGCCTAGTAACTGTTACTGTATTAAATGGCATGGGAAGGGAGCCCAGAACTCAGGTCTTACCATCCTGGGATGCAAAGTGCGATAGAAAGGCCTGTAGATGGAGTTGTGTGAACACTGTTGCTCCCAGAACATAGTATTCCCACGGGACTGCTGGACAAAAGGGCTGGGCTTGTGAGTGTAAACAGAAGTTACATTTTTCGTGCAATCAAGCCCCTGAAAACACATGTGCACAGCTGCAGAGTGCTTTTGAAGTGGCTGATCGCATGACAAATTAAGCTTCCTAAAATGAAGTATCTGCTTTAGAGCGCCTTAGGGAACCTATGTCCCCTAGAGTTAATTTTTTGCATAATAAGGGATGGCTTGTTGCAGCCCAGTCAAAGCTGTTCCTTTCACAAGCTGCCAGCTTGCCTGGCCTGAGTTGGAGGTGGGGGGAGGAGGGGGGGGAAGGGGGGGGAATGGATTGGAGCCCCCCCACCCCTGCCTTGCAGTCTCCCCACAGCCCTCCTTGGCTGGGGTACTGGCTCCTCAGCCAGCTAGGCAAACTTGATCCCCCACCCTCCCCTACCCAACAGGAAAAAGTCTGTTGGGTGGGGAGGGCCAGAGGGGTGCTCTAACTCATGGCACTATGTAGAGCACCAGGAGTTAGAGCACAGGGCTTAATGTCTCAGCACCCTGTGGCAACACTGCAATTATGTGCTCACCAGCAAAGCTGTTCAAGGAATTCCTAGCTAGTGCAAACAGGGGCAAGTCAAGTCAAAGTCCTTTTTAAGAGCTGCCCATCAGCTTGAGGTCTTCCTTAGTAGCAGTCCCTCTCCTCTGCAAGCATCCCCTACCAAGTTTTCCATCTTCCTTGAGGTTTTCCAAGTGGCTGACATGAGGTCTCTTAATACTTCCTCCGTCTTCCTTTTCTTGCCCAGGAGATTGTCCAGGTGTTCTGCAGTACATAACTCCTATTATGGGGACCATAAGATCCCATATAGAACTATTTTCCCAAACTGTATCAACATTTCTCCAACTTGATTTTATTCAAGAAACTAAGAGGGTTAAAAATAACAGACTTGAATGCAAGCCACAGCACAAGCCTATTTTTAAAAATGTATCTGAACACACAGATAGGAATCTGATGCCATCAGTTTTGAAAACAAACACTACCTGGCCCCCAACGGAGTGTACCGATAGTGCATTCGGTCTCTAAGAAGTTCACCATAGAAATCTCATCTACATGGAGAAAGTATACTGGTATACTCTTCTATGCAGACAGTATATAAAAAGATAATTTTCTTTTTTGATTTAGCTCAAATCCCTTCCTAAACATACTTCACTGAAACCAAGATCCACAGGGGATTCCACAAACCATAGCCATCAGTTTAACAACTATGCCTCAATTTATACCAACATTACCTGCCACACTGTCTACATGGGAACAGCTGTAGCTCTTCAAATACATTTTGTCTACATTTTAGATCTTGCCACTGCCAGCCAGCTAAAAATACCGATTGCATTCTATAGAAGTCTTCAGAGGAGGAAGGAAAGTAATCTAAAGAAACAAGAATTATGACAGGTATAACAAACTCATCAGGCTCTGCACACTGCATGTAGCATGCACTCCTTGGACCAGCCCCACATGCCAAAAGGCAGCACACAGGGACAGGGCATGCTGCATGAAGGCCAATCTGGGATACGCTACATGAGGGTCCAGACCCAGGCCCAGGGGCAGCTCTTTGGGCCAGAAAATGGAGCTCTACAGGGTGAATCTAGCAAGCAGACCATCTCTCTAACACCCCTGTTTTAAGACAGAACAGGTAAAGCATGCCAGAAAAAAAAACAAAACAAAAAAACATCTGTGCCATCATGATAAACCTTACGACCCAGGATTTTTTTTTGTCACTAAATTATTAACCACTTATTCTTTCTGTAGCTTTTTAATTGTAAATAAGTCTTCAATACTTTTGCAAAGTTTCAAATCAAGACCTCTGGACTTCATTATTAAACATCATCCTTTTTCTGAAGCTAATATTAAAGTTCTCAGATGAAGTAATCTTCACAAGCCTTGTATGAGATACTAGCAAAATTCTACAGGAGGAAAAATAGAGGCAGATAAGTAGGGCTTTGAACAAATTATAATTCCAAAAGCTGTACTTATATATAAAACTGAGAGGCAATATGGTTCTGGAGGTTTAAAGTACAGCAATGTGTACCTGGCCACAATTTGTATACAAAATTATTTGTCCCACCTCTGCACTAGAGAAAAGAAGATATGAAACTTACTCAGGTACATCAAGACCAAACATCATCACAAAAGGCAAAAAAAGATAACCAGGACCTGAGCTTGACAGACAACTGTATCCTTTGTTGTAATGGAACATATTTTGGTTTTCTGTATAGTAAAACAGAACCAAAAGGACTGCCTGTTTCACTGCATTGTAAAGTACCTACTGCAATTCAAATCTGAAGAAACTAAACAGAAAGGTTAGCCTGCAGGGAAGAAAAATTAAGAAAGGAAAGTGCCAATGAAATTAAAGATTTCTGTCAAATACCTGTTATACTATATAACATTTTCCATCCTATTTAAATCAAGCCAAGATTATAGCTTGGGCTTTTTTGAGGAGTGAATTGTTGAAATTTTGCGTGACCTACCTTTATATCAATGCCACAGCTTTAATCTCAGCTGAAATGTGTTGTTTCTCAACTTTGTAAGATTCACTGTGCGAGACATTTAGGAGTGCAAAGTCAAATACTGTGCCATTCGCTTGCATATACCTAAAGGAAAAAGACAGTATGCACTCAGTCATGCAGTACAGAGATCAGCATATACAGCACTAAAGTGATGTCTGAATGTTTCTTTTAAGTAATGAATAATACCAGTCAGAACTGAGGGCAATGTAGACGCACTATATTTGAGTGAGAAACAGGTTTCCCCTTGGGAAAGTTTTCAAAGATTTCTCTTCCCGATTTGGGATGAAACATCCAAATCTTAAAAGTCTGTGTGCACCAATAAACCAAAATAATTTGACTTGGGTAAACTGAAACCTATTTAATTTCTAGTTTTAAAAAAAATAAAATTTTAAAAAGAAACAATTAATTCAAAGCAAAAAACTGACCATGCTTTCTTTCTGTTATAAGTGTTCAAGTGGGGACTCTGGTAAAATATGAAACACTTCCTGTAATCTTTTGCTAGATAGAACACTTGAGGCAAACTCTTCCTACAAAAAAAATTTCTATTTTGACAAGGAAAAGAAAGCACTTAATTATTTCCCAATCAGTTTTGCTATTGCCAGGACTATAAACTGGTCATCTACATCCTATGAAAGCACACAACAGTACCCAACAGCTTTCATTTGTTGCCAGTTCAGTTCTGTAGACAGTTACTCAACAGAACTGCTAAATATATTCTGGTAGGGCTTGAGTGTTACCTGAACACTGTAATTGCCCATTTCTGGTCTATAAACAATTAAAGGGCTGAATATAGCTTAATTCACTAAAACTGAACAGCATTGTTCCCTGAACTGAATACTTTCCAAACAAATACTGTCATTATACAAAAAAGGCAAAATGTATAGTAAAATGATCACTATTGGACATGGTGGCATAAGAATTAAAAAAAAAATATGGAAACTTTAAAATAATTTCTTAGCAATGGAAAAAAAAGATGTCATTAGTCTTCAACTTTGGACTTCAGTCATGCAGATCCAAAATTTACAAAAAAAGACAAGATTAACCTAAAGGAAATGCATTAAACCTTAAGGGAACAACCATCTTTTTCCTGAAGCTGTACCACTGAGCGAAACAGTGCAAGCAATATTGACACAGTCCAAAATATACATCTTTGACATTTTTTAATTAACAGTGAAACCAAAGCTATTTCCATGGCCTTCCCTGCCCCGCTAAACTACAAGGATAGTCTCAAATAGGGTAACTAGAATCCAGTAAGACTTGCTTACCTTTAGTTTCAAGGTGTTATTACTACAATCATTTTCTGGGGCATACGATTATTGTTTATATTCTTTGCAAGTTGGTCAAATTCACAAGAGCCACAACAATACGAGAAAAAAAAATTGCCAGAGAAGCATGAATACAAGTTTCAAATAAAGGTGGTTCTGGATATACTGAGATCTGTTTTGAGCTCACAGTAAAATATTAGTATTAATCAGGACTTTAGAAACGCTGTACAGCTTTCTTAATGAAATAGTTCAGTCCTGCTACCAGTTAACATTGTAGGACATCCTATACTGAGGCCACTGATCCCATAACCCTGCCTGCTAAGAAAAGGAAGGAACTCTGCTATGGGAACCCGCTAATCTTTAACAAAGAGAGGCCTTAGTTTCATCATCCCACTATTGCACATTTAGCTTGGGTTTCTAATAGCCTACAACTACTACAGACACCCTAGTTTTGCTGAGGAAGTTGCAGCAAAATGTGCATGCGTGTGCACGGGGTGGGGGGTGCAGGGGAAAGGGAGGAAATCATGAATTTAGTCAGGGTTTAAAATCTGTCCCAGAAGATTTCACAATTAAGAAAATTATACTAGTCTAGTATGGTGCCAAGCAACTCCATACTCCAACACACGATGCCCACTCCTATCCCCCAAGCCAGAAATGGCAGGGCCACCTTTGCATGTGCTGCATATGCAGCAAGAGGCACAGCATACCAGCAGTGTTTCTGAAGCGCATGCAGCATAGCACTGCACCAAAGTGGCTATACTTCCTATTCATGATATAGCTCAAGTACAGTATGTGCCCAGTGTTGCTGTCCAGCACTGTACTGGAGCAATACACTACATTTATCCAAATCCAAGATGACCCTGAATTTAAAGATGACCTCCCCCCCAATAATTAGATTCTATACATGGAAAATTTATATATTTTTTTATTTTCCATGCATTGAACCTAATTATATGGGGGTCATCTTAAATTTCCCGCTATTGCGGGAACAAGGGATGGGGGGCAGTAATAGGACAGGTGGTCTGGGGACAGGCAGCGAGAGAGGATGGGGCACATGGTAAAACCAGGTGGTGGAGGCAGCAGTAAGGGGGCAGATAGTGTATGAAGCAGGAGGCGGCAGGCAGTGTTGAGGTGGTAGGGGAGTGGGCTGCTTCCCCCTGCTATCTGTCACCCTTCCCCCTACCCACCTTCATGCCTGCCTCCCTCAGCCTTGGGCTCTCACTCCCTATGCTACTTCTGTCCTCCACAGCCTTGGGTGCTCTGTGCCCTCCCCGCTTCCCCCCAGCCTCTACCCCCTTACCTGTGCTCTGGCGCTGCCAGGCTCTATGTTTATTGTAGCCTAGGGCACAAAGCACAGCCCCAGCCCAGCCTAACAGTATGGATCCAGCACTGCTCCTACAGAGCCAGACTGGGGCCATGCTCTGTACTGCAGGCTACAGCATGGACTGAGCCTGCTGGTGCCAGAACAAAAGTAA